GTAGCCACAGAAATCGGAAACATCTTGCTGAAGCGAATCTGCTGGCAACATGGTAGTTAACCATTGCCACACTTGTGAACATTACTCAATATCAAATTGAGTCACGATTTCTGGCATGAGTAGACATAAACAAATTCAATCTAATTTTATGTTGAAACCTCTCAGTTTTCCCGATAATGACGACTGACTTCGAAACTGAGTATACCAGAATATACGCAGGTATGTACCGTTGGCACAGAGATGTGAGTTACAGCTGTTCTGTTTCCTACAGCGTTTTGACTGGGCGAATGCTTTTGGTCACGTAACATCGTTGTGTTGCCGTTCATCGAAATTAAGAGCAGAAGTAACAGAGATCCCCGTTGTTATGCTGGTCTGTAAGAACATGACGTCACGGATTCAGCGTGCAGCCGTATATTTCTAGAAGAGTGTCCTCGATCAGTACAGTAACAGAGGTATCAACACAGAGTGTTTATGAGGAATCTCGCCTCCTCATGTACCAATGTCACTGTCTGAGAACATTTGATCTAATGTTTCCATTTAATCGAATGAAGTCAAGTGTTGACTATATTGAAATCAAGAAAAAGATCGGCCATAGTCAAATAGTTCTGAAAGTTACATTTCCCACAGATTCAGCATGATGCTACCTGAGAATTTTTGCCAGTAGTACTTCACCTTAGTATTTAGCATGTGATGCATTACGATGACGTATGGCAAGATTTCATAGAAGTGTAACAGTGATTCAGACCGCACGTTTAACAAGAACAATAGACTTTATTGTGAGTTTTCGAGGTCATCAAGCCTCAACTATTGTCATTGACTTTGCCACGTTAGGCATGACGATCGAAACCACATTTAAACGTAACCACACCTGACTAATAATGGACGGTAACCTCAGCGCAACAGCGAAACCATGCTTAGTAACACCTTTTGAACATGTTTTTCAGAAATAATTTAGCGTTCCTTATTGAGGTCATTACGACAGGTATGAACGAGCAGAATTTCCCCGTTAAAACTCGTACTCACTTGAGCACTGAAATAAAATGATATAAAATGGACAACGACGTAGACATCGCTAGATAATCGACGGCAACCGTTGGAAGCTTAGCTTGGAGGAGGTCTTAACGGCAATTAAAAATTATGAGTGGAAAATTAATGGGCGTGTAGCCCTGATGAGGAGCATTTCGTTTGGTGATGCACAGTAAAGAACTGTAAAAGAGTAACCTGCTCAAATGAACAGAAATCTTGATTTCTCAAAATAGAAAGTTTTGCTGATGTTGTTGTTGTCCTCAAGGCCTTTATGTCGTCCCATGTCACAAGCTGCTGCTAAAGATAGGCTAAAGCATGCAACTAAAATGATTGACTGGCTGTACGAAAGGTGTTTAAGACGGCTTCTCCACTGCCAATGAACGAACAGTAGCCGCCTTACGAAGCGGATACTGTAAGTAAAGCTTGATGCAGGCAGACGCCAGGAAGATCTCGACAAATTCACATAAGAGCTGACGCAACATAAAAAGAACTGAAGCATGCGCATGCATTCATTCGATTCAGGTGGAACCGACCGTTGCATCCGACGCGATGGGATGAGAAGATGAAGGCAAAAAATTTACAGTATGTATAAAAAAGTATATACGGCACATGCGTAGCACTGTATCACATCACACTGTAGCACATCCGTAACGGTCAGGTTTAAGCGTCTGAGTTTTGGACAACAGGCAGCAGCCAAATTACAGCAGAACTTCGAGTTTCAGATCGAGGTGAGACGTTTTTTACAAATTTCGTGATAACAGAGACCTTTCATTGACCGTCACATGATCGATTGACCGTTACAGTGGCAGATGGCAAATTTTATCCCCCATTAGGGGGTTTGGCACGTTATACATAACGATGTGAATGCTTTCCAACGCTAAATCTTATGAATTAGATTAAGGAGTGTTACTTGATCCTAATTTTTTAATTTCTTTCATTAAGTGTTTTCAGGAACTTCGGGATTGTATCCTTGGAGTCGACATGATTCGTTTGGAAGGTAGACGGAGAGATTAAAAGATTCTGTAAAGCTTTCGTCCATCCCATTTATTTTTACAGGTATTCTTTTTGGGCTGCGTGATGTTTTGAGAACCATCACGCCATCCTGTCGAACGACTCAAATTGCGGAAACCATTCGACTTACCGACATCATGTTTGGCGCTAATGAAGAGCGAAGAACAATCAGGCAGAATTCCAACGTGTCAAACAAGCACATAATCGAAGATGCGACAGGAATTTTGCCCAGGTTTCATTCGGTCACTAGACAACGGGTTACCTTGAATAGGACGCCCACTACCCATGATGGACCGCTTTTACAAGGGGCTTTACAAAGAAACTCCAGCGAGCTACAGGAGTCACCCAAACTAAACAGTCGAGCAGTGTGAATCAAGGAAATTCGAGAACGGACTCGGTCATTACCTGTACCTGCACTGGCAATCGATTTCATCGCCTCGCTCTCCAAACAAGACCTCGGCTTATAGCCGTTGTTGCCATACGCTGAAAGAG